AAATCTGCAGTTTGAATATCCCACAACTTATGATAAATATATGTTAATAAAGTTTCACATACATCATTGACATGAAAATGTCAGAATTTGTTTCGTTGTTGCTTATTATAAATATTAATTGCAACTCAACTCCATCTTTTCTGTGGAGTTGATGACGTTGTCATGACGTATACATGATTGGTGGGATTAACTTGTCCTCTCAGCGCAGGATTAAATCTAGGCTCAAAAGTAAGGACTGGTCTGGAGGTGAATTAAAAATCAATCTTGAACGCTGCCAATGCGCATGCGCATTAGAGATCTGGTTTAAACTTTAACACTAGATTAACTTTTATGATGCGTACATAAGATGCCCATAGTCTTTTTTCTCTCCCTCCCTCCTTCTTCTCCTTCTACTCCTTCTCCGTCTCCTCCTCCTCCTTCTCTCTCTCTCTCTCTCTCTCTCTCTCTCTCTCTCTCTCTCTCTCTCTCTCTCTCTCTCTCTCTCTCTCTCTCTCTCTCTCTCTCTCTCTCTCTCTCTACACGCGAGATAGGAGGAGGAAAATAATAAGAAGACATTGGGCGTCTGCAAAAAAACAAGTAACCGACCCAAGAACATTTTTTTTATAACACCAAAGCAAATTAATTTCTTGTTCTACATATATTCTGGTAAAACATATATTTAGTATTCATTATCTATGGAAAAATATAGCATTAGAAACTCAGCTTGTGGCATGATATAACCAAAGTACATATATCTTACACATTAATTTTGCCACGCATACAGTGATTAGCCTTAATTTCATGTCGAAAACGGTATCACTCCAGTTAAAGATATTAAGGAATGTTATACTTTTTTAACTAATTACTATCCATTTCAAGAATAAAGACGATAGGTTGGTTTATATTTCACCTGCATATAGGACCTCAGCCTTACGTGTATTTCCGTTTTTTTTGTTGATCAGGATTAATGTAATGGAGTGATAAGCTCACCAAGTTTAGCCATCCTGCACTAGCAGTCCAGCCATTCAACTTCTTACTCAAGCAATTAATTACAGACAAACCCTGTGGAATCTGAATTATTTATGAGATAGATGCAAGATATTCTTTATACACATGAACGTGAAAACATTCCTTACGCTTTGAAAATATTTTTATCCATACTTTTTATACATAGGTCGCAAATAACACTGCTCATGTATACACAAATACGGGAATGAGGATAGGAAAAATAAAATTACATTGATAATATTAGGTTAAACGAGTGATTGATCTCACTTAATGTCACAAATGAATATTAAGAAATGCATATGATAAAATCCACAGACTCAACCAAAGATCGTAACTACTGGACATTCTCTCAAGGAGATATGAGCGCGTCGGGGCCAGGGAGCACACACGACCGTGTTACAGTCTTCACCGGCTTTCGCTGTATTTTTATAAACAAATAACCAAACTTTCCTGAAGTTTCGAAAGAAAGACTGATCCTTCGTGTGCTTTAGACTATTACTTTAAAAAGAAAATTGTTCTTTTTAATTGAGGGAGAGATTATGTTCGTAATAGGCTATATAAGTAGAAATATTGTCAGAAATACGAACAGACAAGGATAGACTGGCAGAGAAATATAAAGATATAAACTTGTAAACAATACACACAGCATCTGAACTCAGAAATATATTGATATCTACTATTTAAGTTCTTGTGGGTAATATTATCTTATAGGTGTCAGAAATTGAAGATTTGTAAAGCAACATTGCCATGTGTTCAGAATACAACCAACCAAACTCCTTTGTATTTTTATCCGTTTTCAGTTAGAAATTTAATAGATCTATAGGACTATATTGCATGCAGTGGCTCGAAAGCTGGTCAGTGAAGGACTGTGGTTTTGAAAACTCTTCAAACTGTATGTATTTCGTAGGTGATAAAGTGAACCAGTCATTTTATTTTTCAAGTGACTATGAATGGAGACCGATTGTCAGATTGTAGTTGAAAAGTATAAATATGAGCCCAGGGTACTTAATCTCACCATTAGATTGTGTTATAATCAAAGTGCCATTTATGAGTGAGGATTTCTTCTGTGTTAACAAACCATAATAATTTAATCCGTTTAGTATCCATCTTTACCAGACGATATACACAAGGGAAGTAAAAAAAAGTATGATAACGTTATGATAAATCAAGAGTATTTTTAGTACTTGTCAAAATTGTGAGAAAGGAGTCTCGTGTTAAATTAGGAATATACCAAGAGTGTATTGGTACACTTTCGTACTTTGGTTCTGGAAAGGTGAGGGAACAACAGTAATCAAAGTGAATTTTTTTTGTTATTGTAAAACCATGATTTTGTTAGAACTGGCAGCTTTGAATATTCTGTTATAAGGAAATGTTAAGAAAAATAGAAAAATGTTCCAAAGCCATAGGGCAAAAGTTCTTTGGTAGTAGTACCCCCTCCCCCCCCCAATCCCTTGCCGTTGTTGCCGTGGGGGCTTAAGAAACGGAGACTGGGACCCAGTGCTGGGGATTGCCACTACCTTGGACCTCAGCCCTCAACTTAACTAATTTGGCGCAGTCTTTTCTCTTTCATTTTCCATTTCCTTCAGTTCTCCAACCCCTTCTCCTATCCACTTCCTAAGATGTGAGAGCCATGTTGAAAGGATGAAAAGATGACTTTGTGTCAGTCATGAACGGCTTAGGGGAGCCATGGGCACAGTATTTCCATGTTTAGTAGTCTAGCCCTTACCCCTTAAGGGACTCTGAATGATGGACTGTTTCTCTCCCCAACATACTCTAGGCTTGCCATAGCTAGTAATGAAGATTTTGTACCCCAATTAGGGACAATGACTTTAATTCTCCTGGTTCCCTGACCTCAGGCTCTCCTTTGACCACGACTCTGAACACTTCTCCTCGATGCCAACTATCACCTCAGGCCAGTTCAAATCATCCATCCAAGTTATTACTCAACCTCCAGAAAAACTTCCCTCCTTTCCCAACATCCTGTACGTCACCTCCAACCCCACAGCTTTCTTTATATAATACCCCCACCTCCCTATTAATACTCTACAGCCTTGTTGTATACCTCTTTCAATACTAATCCCTCTTTCCCACACCCCCTTCCATCTACTAACCTCGCCTCTACCAACTTTATGAATACTCTTTTTAGTCCAGTCAAATGGGATTGATTTTTCATGATGCCCTCTACAGCTCTTTGATAACACAACAAAAACAAGTAGGCAAAGTTTCCTTTCGTAGCCACGACCCGATAATTCCCACCTTAACACAGTTACATCCAAATCCTAAATTAAAGCATTATCAACCCTGTCTGACTTCACTGACAAACCCATTCCTGCACAGCCTCATGTCCATCTACCTGGCTATGATTAGAATTGGTCAGAAGACTAATTCCTTTGCTTTATGGACTATGATGTAGTATCACTACTACACCATTCCCCCAAGAGGCTTTTGTAAGTCCACCATCAATAAACATGACCTCCCCCATAATGTTTGTATTGGAGGAGAATGCCTCCCTGTCTGACCATATCAACCCCTCCCTCCCCCACACCAATGTCAGAATTGTTGGCATCTATGTCACCCTGCTGCTCTACAGCCGGTGTCCTCTGTGCCCAACCTGGTGATAATCGATCAAACTGCTCTGCATAGGCATGCATGTGTGCCAATAATGTATTTTATAGGGGCTGCCCTACCTACAAGTTTGAATGCAAGTTGGCAACTCTCACATTCAAACTTGGCCTCAATAAGAAACTGTGCTGCCCTTCACCCCACCCCTTCCCCTTCCTTCTAAGGTGTTTCTACATCACCCCCCCCTCCATCCATTTCTACCTTCTTCCTCTATTCAAACTCCTTTACAATTCCAGAAACCCCACGATCTACCACTGCCTGGACACATACCCCTCTCCATCCTTGTTCTATCTGTAATGGACACACTAAACATTCCACCCCATCTTCTATCACACCCTCTCCTCCACTTTCAGATGTGTAACTCCTCTTCTTCCCCTCATAAGAAAACCTTTGTTTATCAGACCTCAACCAAATCCACTGGAGAAACTCTGAAGTTCAAAAATATCTAATCATGACCCAATATAACATACCTACACCTCATCTATCATTCAGTCTCTCTCCTCCCATTCCCTCTACTCAAAATAACTACCAACTTCTATCCTCATTCTATTCATGTTCCCTTGCAGCCCTTCCTCCCAAAACTTCTCATTCCCCTCTGCTACATCTTCCCCATTATTCCTTCATCCCCCTGGATACACATGGGACTCTTTATCACAACCCCCCCCCCCCTTCACTCCTGAAACTTATGGACTACTTAAACTTAAACCCTTTCTCCTTTCGTAATGCCTACCTTACCTTATGGACATCCTTGCAGAACCCCCACTACTTCCTCTGACAACTTTGATCTACTTACTCTTTTTAATTCCTACTTTAGTCTAAATACTCACCTTCTCTACCCACACCCCTCCTTGCCCTTACTATCCTGAACTGCTAAATGACTTTTGACATGTAGCACATTTGATCATCAACTAACCCCTCTTCACTACTATACCTTTCTATAGGACTATGAGACCTTTGATGTCAAGCACATTTATTTTTACTTTGTAACCAGTGACTATTAGTAGTAATTTTAAGGGGGAGCAAAAGTTTCAAGAAAAAGGTAGATAAAAGAAGTTTCATATTTAATATCAAAAATCACTCTAATTCTAGCATAACCTTTACTTATTTGGCTGATGTGAGATGACAGCATAGACAAAAGGACCAACTGCTTGAGAGGGCATGAGAGTACATGGATAGTGTGGAAGTGGTGTCCCACATCAGAGCCTCCCCCTAATAGTCCAGGTCCACTTCCACCCCCTATTTCAGAGCATGGCAAATTCCTTCAAAAGTTGGGATTTGCTAATGCAGACAATCAGAAAGCGTTAGCTATACTTGCAAGGATTCAAATTGCAGTGTTTCGCTGACTTATATTCCAGTTTTTCCTTATCATGTGTTTTGGGTAATGAATTACATTTTAAATGAAAATATTTATTGAGAGCAACAAATTTATGGCCTTGGCATTGATGAAACTAGTCATACCATTGCATGAATAACAAACTTTTCTCTTACAGACAAACTATACATCAGTCAATATACACATCACAATCGATTTTATGATTTTTTTATTTATTTTATTTTTAGATATGGAAAAATGCCCTCAATCTACATTGGTTGTAGCTGAAGCTTTTTTTTTAATATTCACAAAATCTACAATGAAGATAATCATCATTCATCAAATTGGAATTTTTTTTTATAAAAAAAAGGAAAAAAAAAAGGAACATCCTTAAATACACACATACAAAATAAAATATTGGAGAGGGCTGGACAACACAAGTAACTAATATATACAATATAAATATGCAGATATAACACAAATATCCTGCCCTTAGTTATGTACTATATAAAGTATATATTACATACTTTATACCTCCCAAGATAATACAAAAGAAACTGTGGAGGCCCTCCATTACTGTCTGAAAAGATGTATGCACCAGGAAGTACAAACAACAGCCCATTAACATTTCCACCTCCCTTCACTTTTCTGTCAGATGCTGTTTGACTAATTGTCAAATTTTTTTTTGTGTTTTTTTTCCGATACAAATTGGTCAGTAGCAAGTTTTATGCTTATCATTCACTTACAAGAAAAACCCGACAGCAGACATGCCAATCTTTCATCCTACTCTTAAAGTTGGGCAATATGGGAAGCCACACGTGCTTCGCCAAGCTCCACAAGCTGCTATCTTTACACTGTTTATTTAAAGAGTCCACTTTCTCCGGCAGTGTCATTTCAAATGATACAAGTAGTTTCAGTCATTTGTTCCATATCATCTAACTTTTGTGCAAATTAGAAAATAATGTACATTTTTAAAAAATATTTTACACAGTTCACAACATCACTTTCTTGTACAGAACACATATGAAGTTGGCTTTGATAAAGAGCAGAGAGATCCTTTACAGGAAGTTCAATTGTCCCTAATTCCTACACAATACAGTGTGGATGCTCCTTCACACTCCCTTAGTTCATACATTCATTTTCCTAGTAACCAATTGTTCATTACCTCTGAACAAAGAGGAAATTCACCTTTTGTCATGTGGTAGCCTCATTTTAAAAACAAAAGCTTTTAAAAACATACCAAATGATAGTTCACAGATAATTACAACTTAATGCACAAAGACACATGTAAAATGTTCCTATATTAAACTACCTTGCATCCCTCCCAATGCCATATGCTAATGTGAACAGTTGCTCAGCCTGAAAAAAAAACAAAACAAAAAAAAACTTGCTTTCAAGTCTTGAGCTCTGCTTTTTATGTATGTATTTATTCTTTTTTTTTAAACTCTTTTTATTTAGCTAGGAATAATAATGGGACTTTCACCAAGAAGGTGGTTAATTCCACAAACAAGATCACAGGAACTATCAAACCCCATTCATCCTATAAAAGGTTCAATGCCCAATCACCCACTCAAAGAATCAACACCTTCTTTGTACTAACCCATCATCATCAACAATTTTTCTTACTGTAAAATAATGAACCTTAAAAATATACCATTTCAGTTCAACAAGACTAATAATAATAATGGTAATTTTGCTGAAATCCTTACTGAGATTCAGTTGCTGGTTACGTATATTAAACTGAGCTAATATCTTGACTTATCTACATAATCCGGCACATGAACTGTTAACAGCCCGGGAGAGCACAAGGGAAAGGTATATGAGTTAGGCAGCAGTGCTGTAGGACCCTTGGAATATCTGGCATCACCGTGAGAGGGAATGTGAGCGTTCCCGATGGTCGTCGCCTAACCGCTGGTGAGGAGGGATTTTCTCGAAGAAAGGATGCCTGGAAAGGGAGACGGTACATCCAAGTTAGATAGTTAAATGAATGGGAAGAAATCTGCCTTTCTTTGGTTACATAAAAATAAGTGGTTATGTCTTTTTTGCAACAAAATCTGGTACCACTTCTATTGTTTCATCCATTTGCATCCAGACTCTTATTACTATAAAAATAATAATCTGTTGGTTGTTATATAAAGATATGCCCCTGGGAAGAAAGTTATTATTCAAATATGACTACCAATTATATTTCCACTCTAACTAGCAACTTGGCAATACCTCATGACAGGCCAAATGTACATCTACTCTGGGTTGCAAATAAGTAGATGGCATGGTACAATAACTTCTAAAAAAAAACTTAACCAAGACCTTTATTATATAATCTAAATATCTACCATGTAAAAGCAACCAACTAATTGAGTTGTAAAGCCAAACAGATGCGACAAGAAAAATTAATTCATGAGGAACTTTAATAAAGGATAATGTACACAAAAATAGGGTATAGCCTAAAAATAAAATGCAAGTTTCCTTTTTTTAAAATATAAAATGGCAATACCCCAAAAGTATTAAAAAAATATCTCACCCCAAACATATCAAAACATTTTCTATTCTATACATCTTTAACATAACCTTACAACCAAGTCATGCTAATTCTCTTTTTTTCTTTTTTAAAAGTATAAAGCAGCAGCATTAACCCAAAAGTATTAAAAAAGTATCTTATTCCCAACATACATATATATATCAAAACTCATCTTCCTCATTACTTATCCCCAACACAACCTTACAACCCCATCCTTACCTAAGTGCCTCGCTCAGGGAGATGCGCTGGCCTGGTTCATATTCCAGCATCTTGGTGATTAAGTCGAATAGTAACCTATGGTCCTCATCTGAACTTGTCTGGTAGCTCTGGAAAGTTTGAACGCCTCCATTAATTTACGCCTGGCATGGATCTCTATCCAGTATATTATTCCATGTTTGAGAGTTACTTAGCTTTAAGCAAATCAAGATATTTGAATTATTTCATTTCAGCTCATGTACGGTGATAACAAAACATGCTTATTTCAATATCTGGAATAAAGATAAAAAGGTTACCATGATACCAGTGAAGTCAAGTCATCACATTTTTATCATGGTAAATTATTGGAAATCATACACACACATGCAACAACAGTCATATTCACTCTTAATTCTCAACATACTTCTCACTGAATAATCCACAATACTGAGTATAAATAAGTTTGAGATATCCATGCACAGTGATTTATTTTTGGCTGACTGCTCTCTTGTTTGCATTCATTAATAAAGGAAGACAAGCAAACATGTCATTAAATTTTTGTTGGGAGGGCTAATCATTATTTCATTATAACAGCTATGAATTACTTTAAAAATTTAATGAATTTTATAATCAAGACTAAAATACACAAGTGTCATCTCATGCACTCAGAGTAATTTGTAGAGTAATAAAAAAAAAAAAAAAAACAGTTTTTAAGAATCCATCCTAAAATCAACTCCTAAAGTTCAATACTTTTCTGAAATTTTAAGTTTAAAGTCCATCCAGATTCTTTTCCCGCTTCAGAAAAGGGGGAAAAGAACGTGTCAGGACAAGCTCTACAAAAGACTCGTGACTGTATATGTAATACAGTCACTAATAACCATTTATACCTCTTAGTAAAATATTAGTTGTAAAAAAAGTCTAATTACATTACAAACCAAATATCTGCTCAGCATTACCCTAAGAGGTTTACAGTTCTCGCGCACATATCTGCCCGCAGAGCTCTTTTCATCCCAGTCTAATTTGCCGTGATAGAAATACTTGGTCCTTGTCTTTCTACCCATTCTGTGACGGAGAGAGAAAGGAATCAGTTCTGAGGAAGGAGACTAAGGAAAAAAAAAAAAAAAACTATGAAGAAATTCATAGGGCATTGTATGAAAATCTAACAATAAAGAAATAGGTTTTTACTTAAGGGTTTTACTTAAGAATTGCTGTTCTAAATATTAAAATTAAATTCCAAACAGAGAAAAGAAAGAAAGAAAGAAAGAAAGAAAAAAAGAAAAACATTTCACCATAACTAAAACAAGATAATCCTGGAACACATAAACCCCTCTCCCCCCCCACTTTACCTGTAAGGAATGGGTCCGAGGATACGTTCCATCATGGCCAGATGTTCTCGGTTATCATGCGTTTGGAACAAGGTGATCCCCAAGTACAACTCGAACATTATACACCCAATGGACCAGACATCACAAGGCTGCTGCCATCCCAATTCTGAAAAGAGGATGTGTGTGTGATAACATGTATAATAATATGAATGTACTGATGAGGTAATAATGTAAGTGATGAGACTTCAAGAATAATTGGTGTTGAGAAATTGAGAACATCATCTTTCTAATGAAAAAGTAATGTTTCAGTTAAGTAAAGTCTAACTTTTCCACCAACATTCAAACTACACTACACGAACACTAACTTGGCATTACATTACTTTTTAATAACATTTAATTGCTTAAAAAAAAGACTGGTTAAGTTTTCCTTTATTTTTTTATTTTTTACACAAAATATTTGCAATTTACAAAAGCAATCTCATACAACAATTTAAAAACAGCTAGAGAAAAAAATAAAAACAGACCTGAAAATGACAAATCACAACAGTCCATACTCACCTAGTATAACTTCTGGTGCTCTGTAATGCCTAGTAGAAACTATAGTGCTGTGGTGCTCATGATCAAATGTTGCACTTCCAAAGTCGATTAGCTGGATGTCTGTCCTCTTTACTGTTCTGATGTCTCGTTTCTGAGGGAAGAGAGGAGGCTTCAGTTAAGGTTCCGTTTGGTTAAAATTTGTTTTTTATAATGTTGTTACATACTTGCTAGTGCTAATCTGTAAATTGTGGGACTTTATATGTAAATTACATAATGAAAAAGTCTGGCCTATCGAATGAGGTTGTGAATAGTGAATGACTCAATGAGTAATTGTGATCTGCATACTAAAATGTACCAATTGAATGCAATACCAAGAAAAGTAGAAAAAAAGTATTTATACACCAGAAAAAAAAAAAAAAAAAAAAAAAAAAAATATATATATATATATATATATATATATATATATATATATATATATATATATATATATATATATATATATATATATATATATATACATACATATAAGTACAAAAAAACTACAAGAAACTCTTACCTTCTTGGGATCATATGTCAAGTCGTAATCTGAATCGACGAAGAGGATGTTTTCGGGCTTGAGATCAGTATGAGTAAGTTTGTTGTCATGGAGGAATTTGACAGCATAACACAGCTGGTAGGAGATGTGTCGGACTTGTTCCAGGGCATATGGACGGTAATTGTTGTCCTTCTGCAAGAGCGACAGGCAGGGCATTGAATGTAAATGTAAACATGAGTATATTAACAAGTATAATAAATACTGGAGTGTCAAGAAAAGTAGTAGAAGAATACTGAAAGCAAGGGGTATAAAGACAAACAAAAGATAAGGTGACATAAATTTTTACGGAAAGAGGAAAAGAGAAAAGTGCGCATAGAGGAGTAAATAATCTCCCTCTGGAAACTCTGCGTCGCCTGTTATTCCCTACTTACTTTGACAGGAATTTCACCGACATAATACCTTTGACTTTGATTTAGTATGTTGATATCTTAAAATATGACCAGTTCCTTTTCAGGTTTCTGCAGGATTTATGCATCATAAAATATATATACTCAAATACTTTCCTGGTATTTCTGAAAATCTTGAATTTATAACTTACTAAGTTGTAAACTGGAGGAGGAGGAAGATAATAATCATAATAATGAAAAGAAGGGGAAAGAGGGAGGGTGAGGAGAAAAGAGATGAAACAAGTAAAAAAGAAAAAGGCTCCCCCCCCCCCTTTCTCTTTTATAAGCAACAGTAAACACCAAAAGAAATGTCACGTAACTACCTAACACCCCATACATAAAACCACCCTTTAAAATCAACTACTTCAACAGCAATACACCCCCCTGCATACCTCCTCAGAAACAATTCCCTTTCCTATTTAGTGATAAAATGCGCACAAGCACAGAACACTTCCAAACACATTCACAGGATGACAAAATGGACAGACATGTGGTAAAGAAGTCCTGGCTACTGCTTGGCATCCCCCAAACCTAAACTTGGCAGATCTAAGCGCTATTTGCATCACTACATGAGAGCAACAGCGCAAAATAATATCGGAACATATTCCTATCTTGAGACAAACGGATCATGTGATTAACACAAGTAGTGATTCATCTTGTGGAATGATGCAACAGCTTCCTAAAATTCATTTCTATAAAATGTATATTAAGTAAAGACAGATATTACTCAGTAAAATTAAAATTCTTGAAAGTGAAAACTGTGCTAGAAACGTTATTTACAATCGTATTTCTCCTCACTGAGAAGCAGTCAGTTGAAATGGGAGACAGAAAGAGTGACAAAGAAGAAAAGAGAGAGATGGGAAGATGCAAGACAACATGTATGTATGTATGTATGTGTGTGTGTATTATATAATATATTATAATAATACACAGACACACGAGAAACAAGACAGGAAAAAAAAAGTATCAAGAACAGAGAACAACAAAAGAGAGAAACGACAAGCCAGACAGCGAAAGAAAGTAGAGAACGAGAAATAAAGAAAAACATTCATATCAATTTCCACATCAAAGAAACATGAACCTGCTAAGCATAACCTTGCTTTTTTGTACATTTAAATAACAGAAAAACCTTCAAAAGCCTCAACTTACCAAGAAGTCAAACACGCTGAGTCCAAGCATGTCAAAGGCTATACACACATGACCATGGTAGTCAAACCAGCTCAACATCCTGACACACAAACTGTTCAAAGAGAAAGAAAAAAGGAAATGTTAATGCCACTTCTTTTCACTCTTTCATGAAACTAAGCATTACTTTAGAGAAGACATGACATGGGTAAGTAGTTTTCTCTGCTCATATACATAAAGAAAATACTCTTTATTGGCTTAATTTGTACAATCATTACCATATCCTAATGCTATCATCTTCTTCAATAGAAAAATCATGCAGTCACAAGGTATTTATCTTTAATAATCTTACAAGTTTTTTTTTCTTCCTTCTATGACCATAAGAGTCAATAAAGGTATCAGAGAAAAGGTAACATATGCCAAAGACACTCCTTATTGGTAAAAGTGACACCTAAATAATGATGGCTTCTGACTATATATGTATTTTCTTTGTAAAAACAACAGTAATGGTAGTGGTGGTGATAAAAATACATCACTGATTTTATCTGAGTATAAAATCATTTCTCCATTTCTCACTGATAACATTAATAAAACTATCAAACTGATAATGGCTATAATAATAAATACAGATACAATATCAAAAATAAAACATGTATACAAATAAACAATGATAATAATAATAATAATAATGATGAAGACCATATGAAGACAAAGTTGACAAGTCTGCATTACCTGAACACAACTTAAAAAAACAAACAAACAAACAAACAAAAAAAGCGCAGAAACCCAAGCCCCCCCCCACCCCACCCCCCACAAAAAAAAAAAAAAAAAAAAAAAAAAAAAAAAAAAAAAAAAAAAAAAAAAACACGGACAAAGACACTCACTGTTTGTTGTGGGGATCCTTCTCGGCCAGCTTCTCCAGCACATTGATTTCCAACTTGGCAGCCTCTCTATATTTCTCGACATTTTTGATGATCTTGAGAGCTATGTGCCGATCACTGCGAAAGAGAGAGAGAAGCGGAGGGCCGATTAGAGACTTGGAATAAGAGACAGAATGAGAAAAGGAAGGAATGAGAAAGAGAGAGAGAGAGAGAGAGAGAGATAATGATGTTTCTGCTGCATCTTCGGGAGATGAAGCTATAACGAGTAAAATCATTAAAGAAAAGAAAAGAAAAGGAAAACATTAAATTACAAATGGATTATAACTTTCATTTTATTAGCTGATACTCTGGATGCAATTCTGCAATTCTACCAAAAAAAAAAAAAAAAAAAAAAAAAAAACTTTGCTTTTCTTCAGCAAACTCACATCGTTAACGAAAAAAAAGCAGATACTCCTAGTTCTGAATACCGCTCCTTGATAAATATAAAGCTCACACCAAAAAAGTACATACCAAAAATAGAAACAATCCCTGATGAAAAACAAAAACAAAACATTAAACACTCACCACTAAAAAAAATATAATAAAAAAAAAAATCGACTCTACAAATCACCGGAAAAAAAGAGATAAAAAGGCAAGAAAATTTCTCCGCATTCCATATATCAGCCGCCACGAAATGTGTTCCAATAAGAGTTAGACAATTCAACACCACCTATATCACGCTCCCTCCCCCTCCCCTCCCCCCCCCCAAAGTTCTTTCCCTCCCTCCTCCTCCTCCTCCCTCCTCCCCCCCTTCAATAATTCTCTCCTTTGATAATATACGTTTCCTCTCACCTCCACCTGGCGCCGCTCCTTCGCCGGACTTAATGTAAACGACTTGTAATTCTTATATTTCACTTTTTTTTTCTCATTTCTTTTCTTTTCCTTTCTCTCCCTCTCTTCATATAATGGCTTTGTGACTTTACTGGATTACCTTCTTTCTCTTTTTTTCTATTATTATTATTATTTTTCGTTCGTTTTCTGCGAAGACTTTTCACCCAAACGTCCTCTTATTTTTCACCATTCTCGACACCTTTTTTTACGATAAACGCCCCTTTTTTTTAAATAATAAAACTCCCTCTCTTCCTCGTACAATAACATCCAACTATCCCTTCCTCTTTCTTCATCCCAATTAATCCAATGAAAAACAAAACCCCCCTCCCCCTCCCCTCCCCCCCTCCCCCATTAACCCAATTTCACAACGACACCATTACCTAATACTCTCGTTCCAAAAATCTCTCTCTCTCGCTCTCTCTCTCGCTCTCTCTCTCTCTCTCCGAACGTTTTATTTTACTCGCAATGCAACTCCGCTCGCACACTATCGAACGAAACTAGCACGCCACCGTTCAGCATTCTTGGCACGGCTGGAGGAAGGAGAGAGAGAGAGAGAGAGAGAGAGAGAGAGAGAGAGAGAGAGAGAGAGAGAGAGAGAGAGAGAGAGAGAGAGAGAGAGAGAGAGAGAGAGAGAGAGAGAGAGAGAGAGAGAGAGAGAGAGAGAGAGAGAGAGAGAGAGAGAGAGAGAGAGAGAGAGAGAGAGAGAGAGAGAGGGAGGGAGGAAGAGGGAGGGGGAGAGGGAGAGGGAGAGGAAGAGGGAGGGAGAGAGGGAGAGGGAGAGGGAGAGGGAGAGGGAGGGAGGGAGAGGGAGGGAGAGAGGGAGAGGGAGAGCGAGAGAGGGGAGAGGGAGGGAGGGAGGGAGGGAGAGAGGGAGAGGGGGAGAGGTAGAGGTAGAGGTACAGAGAGAGAGAGAGAGAGAGAGAGAGAGAGAGAGAGAGAGAGAGAGAGAGAGAGAGAGAGAGAGTGAGAGTGTGTGTGTGTGTGTGTGTGTGTGTGTGTGTGTGTGTGTGTGTGTGTGTGTGTGTGTGTGTGTGTGTGTGTGTGTGTGTGCGTGTGTGTTCGATTTCGCTCGCTCGTGCCTTTGCTGTTTTTTTGTTTTTTTGTTTTTGCTTTGATTTCTTTGTATTCCGGGGAAGAAAATACGCACAACAACAGTGATCCTCTGATTAGCTTTAAACTGAACTGCTTTCACACGGGGAAGTTTTCTGGGAAATGAATTGTTTTTTTTATTATCACTTCTCAAAGCAATTAAATCTGAAATTGGTTTTAAATTAAAGATCACCGAGCACCAATAATGGCCCTTTAACTAATACATTATCCTCATTAAATCGTAACATATTCGAGTAATGGTTATTAGCCAGCAAATAACCCAATCACTAACACAATCACCTGCGCCTTGGAAAGTAAAATCAATAAATAATACCAATGGTGAAAGAAAAAATATGAAATATCTCTCTCTCTCTCTCTCTCTCTCTCTCTCTCTCTCTCTCTCTCTCTCTCTCTCTCTCCTTCCCCACCCCCAGTAAACCAGAGCGAAATTTGGACCGAAACGCACGAAAACCAAACGAAACAAAACTACAGTAAAAAAAAAAAAAGTGAGGCCGATTTCTAAACGCTACAAGAGGAAGGTTTTGAGGGCTGAAGAAGCCTGGAAAACGGGTAAGGTTTTTAAAAGTAAAAAACAAAAACAAAAAACAACAACAAAACAACACAAAAACAGTGGAGGCTTTTGTCCTGAACTGTGCCTTTCCATTACGACATTGTGGTTTACATGAACGAGATGAGGAAGAGAGGACGGGAAAGAGGAGGAGGAGAGGAGAGGAGAAGGGGTTAGAACGAGGAGAGAAAAGGAGGAGACAGTAAAGAGGGCGAGATAAATGAGGAAAAAAACCAGATAGACACAGAGAAAAAAATAGGTATAACCCACGTGAACAGAGAGAGAAAACGAGAGGCAGCAAGCGAAAGAGAGAAGAGAGAGAGAGAGACGAGAGAGAGAGAGAGAGAGAGAGAGAGAGAGAGAGAGAGAGAGAGAGAGAGAGAGAACGAGAGAGATAAGGGAGAAGGCAGGCGCACTTCAACAGGAGTGTAAACAAGGTGAATTCTAGTGAAGAGAATTAAGCCCGAGCTGCTGCAAATGAGAAGAGTCCGGCCGTAAATCAACGCCATCAGCAGCAGCAACGCCAGCAGCGCCAGTAAAGCCAGGGAAAGAAGAGACTCTAAAAAGAAAGGAGAGAAAGGGAGGGAGGGAGAGGGAGAGAGAGAGGGAAGGAGGGAGGTAGAGGGAGGGAGGGAGGGAGGGAGGGAGGGGGAGGGGGAGGTAGAGGAAAAGAGAGGTAGAGGGGGAGAGAGAGAGGTAGAGATACAGAGAGAGAGAGAGAGAGAGAGAGAGAGAGAGAGAGAGAGAGAGAGAGAGAGAGAGAGAGAGAGAGAGAGAGAGAGAGAGAGAGAGAGAGAGAGGATTGCAAAATCTGTTGAACAGCGGGAGTCAAATCAATACAATATACGCGTGTACCTGTGGCTACACATAAAGAGGCAGGAATGAAACGCACGTGAGAATGCGAAAGAGGGGAAGAAGGGGGGGGGGGGGGAGGCAGGAGAGAAAGAGAGAAGCGAGGGGGGGGGGGTGGAGATGGAGGGAGGAGGCAGTGGAAGAGGGATTGAATAGAGGGGGAGGAGAGTGAGTGAGTGAGAGTGAGAGAGAGAAATGAGGAACAAAAACAGTGAAAAGAGAAAGACAAATAACTAAAACTATTGTGCAAGAAGAAAGGAAGAAAGAACACGTTTCCTCACTAGTGCACGAGCCAAAAGAGAAGGCAAAAGAAGAAACAGAAGCAGCAGAAGAAGAACACTAATAGCATGGCCCGGAGAACAAAGACGAAACGAGAATAAAAAGACAAGACAAGTGAAGCGGCACAAAAAAAAATATATATATAAATAAATAAATATAAAATAAAGGAAATAAAGTGGAGCTGGGATGTGCACGCCAGGAGAGAAAGAGAAAAATATATAGAAGAGAGACGCGCCTTATTTCTAAAGTTGTTTTTTTTTCTTGTGTGTGTGTGTGTGTGTGTGTGTGTGTGTGTGTGTGTGTGTGTGTGTGTGTGTGTGTGTGTGTGTGTGTGTGTGTGTGTGTGTGTGTGTGTGTGTGTGTGTGCGTGCGTGTGCGTGTGCGTGTGCGTGTGTGTCAGAACTAGCACTTCTGAGGAAGGAAGAAGGAAGAACGGAGGGGGGTAAGAAAGAAAAAAAGAGGGGTAAGGAAGAAGGAAAGAGGAGAGAGGGAGACGGGAAATAAGGAGAGGAACTAGGGGAGAGGAGGGAAGGAGAGGTGAGGTGGAAGAAGGGGACAGAGGGGGAGGGAAGGGAGGGGTAGAAGAAGGTGAAGCTGAGCACAGGAAGGTGGGGAGAGATGGGGAGGGAGGGGGGGGGGATAAGACCTCACGGTATGTTTGGCACTCATGGGGAGTGGAAAGGGAAAGTAACACCTGAGACCGAGGTAATGAAGGTAATTTAAAACTCGGAGGATCAGGGAAGTAGCGACCGGAGAAGGACAGGAGGAGAGAAAGGGGAGAAAGGACAGAAAGGCGATAGAGAAGAAAGGAGAGAAAAGCGACAGGAAGAAAGACCACACCAAATCAATCAACGAACGGAAACAAACACAAAAACAAAAAAACAGACTACCTCCCGCACGCAATACGGCCCACAATAAAACAACTTCAAGACGAGAAAGGAAAATGACGTCAAGTGTACTTCAGGCGACGAAGATATGATGTCGATGTGATATGACAACCCACTTCCTCCCAGTAATAAGTCTTGGAGAGCACGCTGGACGGAATATACACTGGCTTTGCTTTTTTTAAAATTCTCACTGAGGTACTACTCCTATAAATAATAATAATAATAATAATAATAATGATAATAAAAAAAAACAATAACGATGATGATGATGGTGATGATGATAATGATTGTGATGATGATTGTGATGATGATTGTGATGATGATGGTGGTAATGATGATGATGATGATGATGATGATGATGATGATGCTGATGGTGGTGATAATAATAACAATAACAATAGAGTAATAATAATGATCATCACAGCAACGCTCAACAACAATAACGATGACGACTTCCCGAGGTCATACTTCCATTAAGCACAAGACCGACCCGGCCACGCTGCGCAAGAGACGAGAATGACATCGAAAAGGAAGAAAGAAAGATGGAGGAAGTTCAAGACCCGATAAATAAA